ACTCTTCAGCTATCTTGCCTTGGTAAAATTATGCTGAACTGATGCTTTCTCTGATTACTTTCAGAGTAATTGCCTGAGACTAAGTGATTGTTTAAAAGAGATAAATGTTATTTTTCGTTTTGTAAGCCACACAGTTAATTTGACTTATTCAACCAGTATGCTTTTAGTACACTCTAAAAAAATATGGTTCTGTAGAGGTTCTTTACTAGTTCTATTTAGAACCATATCCTTCTGAAGAACAGTTTTATGCTGAAATTATGATGCCTTCATGTGCACCTGTGAAATGACACTGAAGTTGCAGACTGATATCGGAAACATAACATTGAAGTAACCTAAACAAAATAATTATATTACGAACATTAAACCCAAATAACTAAATCTAAAGTAAAAATAATGAAAAATATTCATTTCTATTACTCATCTATATGTTATCACAACTATATGTGAAGCAGAAAGTTGAGTGATTAACACCATTCTTGCTTTCCTCTCACTGATATATATATATATATATATATTTCCACCATGTTTCATATCGACTTAAGAGTTCCACTTGTAAATATGATTTACACGGTCATTTGTTATGATATTTCAACTCCTCTTGAAGTGCACAATATTCCCTTAGTTTTTTTATTTGTAATACATAATCAGTCATTAGTGTGTCACTTGGACTAAAATTCTGCAATTATGTCCTCAAAAACGAGATGGACTACTGATTATCAATGATTTATCCATTTATTTCCATTAATAACAATTTAGATAATCTCTAATGTGTCTGTGTCTATGTTGTCATTTAATGCCAGGGTAACATGATATAATAAAATAGAGTATAATGTCAATGCATAATGTTTTTTTAATGAGAATATATAAAGCTTTATGATCAAATTGAATTAAATTTAAGTTAGTTATTGAAAACCTAGACTAAAATACTGAAATTATGTCCTGACAAAGGATGTAATGTTTGTATGTTTATTGTAATCTTGGGTAATATTGTCTACTTTAATAACTTTGATAAATTAAACTCCACAGGCCTGCAGTGAGAAGTGAGAATACTTCTGTTGAAGATATTGAATTTAATATAATCCACTATAGCATTTAGGAATGTTTTAATTATTTCTTTGGTTTATAAATAAACATGTACACTCACAAAATATGGTGTGTGTGTGTGTTTAATACAATCACCAAAGTATTTTATGATAATGCTTATTTATTGTACTAATTGCAAAAGTCACATTGTTCCCTTAATACTATACAAACTATAATATAAACATTTGTTATACAATAATATATATATATATATATATATATATATATATATATATATACAAATATACATACAAATACATGTGCAACACAGAAGTCATAGAAGTGACTCAAATACTTTAGTGCAAAATACTTTATAATTACTGCTATTCATTTCTGTCTCTGTGCTTCTGTTCTTGGGAGAGGTGCAACACATGATGAGTTTCAGCATAGTTCATACTTCATCACATCTGTCAGGTTCAGAGTCCACTGACGGGATGATTCCTGTGCTCAGGTTTTATGTAGCAATATGGGGAGTAATCCTCATCCTCCGGGCTCTTGAACCACTTGGTGGGCACCTGGTACCCCTGCTCATTGGACTCGTCATCACTGGACATCTCATACTCACGTAGCGTTGGCGTGTCCTCTACGGAGTTCTTCTTCCAGTGCTTACCCTTAGCTCTCTGCTTTCCTTGCTCTTTTCCCTCATGAACGCTGCTCACACAGGCCCGGCAAATTCTCACCGGTCTGGAGGAGATGTTCGGTATCAAGGCCCGGCTCTTTGAGCAAGCTCTACATATTATATAACCGCATCTCCGGCAGTGGTGCCTCCGATTGGCAATGTTAAATCGCTTCGAGCAGCGCATACAGATGGCTGATGCCATGTCAGGGATCCAGGTGGCAGCAAAAAAGTTCTCTGCAGCATTGTCAGCGGGGAGGCCCTTAGCTTGCACTAGGAGGGACTTGTACTGCTCAATATGTCCCATCCACGCGTTCTTTTCCTCAGGCGAGGCCGCCGACACGTAGAAAGACTTGCGTGGCGTGCGGATGAGCCATTGGTTGGGTATGGCCATTCCGTCTTCCAGATCTTCCTGCTGCACATCCTCCAAAGGAATGATCTTCTGCTTATTGTTCCAGCGACCGGGCACCATGATGCTACCGTAGACCAAAATGTCGTTGAAGAGGAAGAACACTTTGGGTTTGGGTCCACGTCTGCACAGCTTTGACAAGCAGCCCTCTCCCACCAGAATACGCCCCGGTTTGAGAAGCATCTTTCCGGTTCGGCCGAAGGTGCTCTCCACTGCCTGGATTCGCTCACGGTTCTGAATAGTAAAGGTCAGTTGTTCTGCCATTTTGGTACTGCCTGTAAAATGTAAAAACAATGAAATGGTCAATTTGATTTCGATGGACATGTAACCATTGGATGAATTTATCCAACATGTAGGTTTAGTTATTAATTCTTAACAGTACTTTCAAAGGACTTTAACCCCTGATTACTCTAATTAACGAAATTACACAATACACACACACAAAATAAATGTTTAGACATCTTAAATATTAATTCAACAATACCCGATTGCTGTGGAAAGCAGTGAATTATCGCTGGGTAAACAGACTCAGTATCTGTTCGCAGTTCTTTTGTCCTTCGAGCTCCAATAAAAATCGTATAAAAATATTCCTCTGTGTTCGGCACTACAGATCTCTTCTTTCTCTGGGCAGGTTGTTCGAGACAGCCCTTTTATAGTGTCGTGAGCTTGTCTTTCCTGTTTGAAAAGGGGAAATTCCAGATCTGCTCTGCAGCCTCTACTATTTTAGCGGTGTAACCTTCCTTGTGCTTGACTGGCACAAACTAAGACACATACTCAAGACATATAGATACAAAATAAAATGTTTTGACCTAACGTCATGTCACTAGAGTCTTGTGTGAAGAGGTAATATATGCTGCCAAGACATTATTTAGACCTCTTGTTCATCAAATTGAATGTAACACTTATAATAAGTGCTGTATTTTTTGCACACCTGTCTAATTTATTTCACAGATTAGGTTAATTAATTGATTTAAAGCTGAAATAAAAAATATATAAATATTAGATGAAAAACTTAACAAAAATTAAAAATATGTTGCCTTGGCAATGAACTAAATGTTTAAGTTGAAGTACAAAAATGATTAAAATTGAAATAAAACCACATTAAATATTAAAAGAAATATTAAAATAAAATGCACAACCAAGACATTCATACAAGTAAAGCATAAATGTAATGTAGTGGCATTCTTTTCATCTAAAATTCCTGTTCTCAGTACTGTTCAGATTTTTCCCATTACATTCTTTTATCGTAAAATAAGTGCAGTCATTTTTATGGGTCTTATTCAAATAATTATATGATGAAGAAAGATGTCTTTCTTCATACGCACTTCCCATTACAGTGAAAAATGTGTGGGCTGAAGTGAACAATTAAGTCTATATTTGTTGTTTATCTGATAAACAGTATTGGCTTAGATAGCAGAGAACTCCATTATCAGATTTACAAAGCAATAGTCAAAACAACAACTTTGACCCTTAAACCAGTCAGATGCCATAACCAGCCTAACAAGTTTTTGGAAAGAAATTTCTGCAAAGCGACTGTAAACAACAGGCTTGTTATATGTTCAAGGCCTATACGTTTAATGCACAGCACAACCTGAAACTTTACGTGCGACTTTTGTGTTTATGTTTTGTGTAGAAAAAAAAAAAAAAAGTGATTTAGAGGAAGTTCACATCCTTATGATGCAACACTATTGACACAGTAATTTCAGAGGAGGAGACATTTAATGTAAGGACCTCTTTTCTCATAAAAGACATTGCACACCAGAATGATTAATGGACTTCATGTGAATTTGCAAGAATGATGACATCCATAGTTGTCTTATTTCAGTACATAACAAGCAGTCACAGCCTCCTTTAACTCAAACACAGTCTTTACTCAAAATCTGTACTATGTGCTCTCAGAAAAAAAAAAGCACTAAGCAATAAATATAATCATTAAACAAACGCTTACGTATTTAATTAGAAAACCTGTTCTGTGTCTTGTATAGGAAGGAGGGATTTTTTTTTACTAGAAGAGGCATTTACAAGTCAACTAACAAGGAAAAACCTTGACTAAGTATCAGGCCCAGTTTCAGTGTGGAAAAAAAGTTCCTTGTTTTGCAAGAGGGCAAATATTACAACATATACTTCAGTGAAACAAAACCACATAACTTATTCCATTTTTACTTGAAATGCTTTTAACTGAAATCTGACGTGGTGCTAGTTCAAGAACACTGGATTCTGAAAAAAAAACTGCTACTAACAGTACTTCACTTAAAGGCAGGGTATGTGATTTTTCAAAAACACTTTAGAAAACTGATTCGGGCCGAATCGCAAAACAAACTTGTAGCCAATCAGCAATAAGGGGCGTGTCTACTCGTGATGTGGAGGAGAGCGCGTTCAGTGCATGGGACGGCCATTAGCCGAGCCGAGCGACAGAAAGCTAGAGATGGCGGATAAAAAACAAAAGAGGAAAACGTCTGCGGAACGATAAGGCAAGAAGTAGGACCCGTGTAAATATCGGATCAGCTTTCCAGCGCTGGAGAGAACTTAAGGAGCGGAGGCCTGCGATCGGACGTCGAGGTTGCTTTGTTTCTTCTCAATAGGTGAGTAACACCGTGTCTACAACAGCTAAAGTCTGCCTACACTGGACGCGATCAAACGACCGTTGAAAACCATTTGAAATTTGTGTCAGCACGTCATAAATAGAACCTGGCAGCAGTTTTCTGTCGGGGATTTGTTGCGCCGCGCCGCTCACGTCCGTAGACACGATGTAACATTGGTTTTGCTTTGTTTCACAGAACTAATGGTTGCCTGGGTTGCGTACGTATATGTGGGGCGGAGCTATCAAAATAGGGGCAAGACCCTTTTGGGGTAGGGGCGTGTTTGTTTTGGTGATTTCAAATATCAACATTGGCTACCAGAAATCACTTACTCTGCCTTTAAAGTTGTATGAAAATAAACATTATATAACCTACTTAAATACCTCGCACTATGAGGAACTAATTGTACAATATAAACATTCTTAGAGTGGATCTACTATCACATCTAACATTAACAAAAGAGTTTTGAAGATGTTTTTAAGGAAGAAGCACTTTTGTAGCATTTGGAGTGCTGCCTACCCCTGACGATAGAATAAGGTCATAAATAAACAGTTTGTGGGAACCTTGTATAAAAATGAAATGACAGGTATGATAAAAAAAAAAGAAGAGGTCAAAATTCCTTCTTACTCCCTTCTCCTCCAAAAAGGCTCTCCTTGGTGGACAATCAAAAGCAACTACTTTTCCTAAATGGCCCATATAGTTTCATACCTGCTCAAAGCATAAAAAAAAGGAGTCATAACAATAAGAGGAAGCTAAAAAATACATAATGATTAAATGTCTTCTCTTAATTCTCCAGTATGAGTCCAGTTAAAGTTGACATGATGTTTAAAATGTCCCATTACAAGTCAATAGTTCCTTTTACTTTGAATTTCTTTGCTGACCGCTCACTGGAGCGCAGTTCAAACTTGCTGCCATAGATGTGTGTTACGAAATCACCAATCTCCACACTGAACACACTATTCCTCTTCGGGATAACTGCAAAAAGAGAGAGAAAGAGAGTAGGGGAAAAGTCAATATTCAAAAGAAATGAAAAACATATACTTGACAATGAACGAGCGACACTGTCTGAGAGGTTAAAGTTAATCAACAGTCAAACAAAAAAGAGGAACATCTTTCTACACAATATATTTTGACAAGACTTTGTTCTCAGGTTCATTTGGCACATGGGTTCTGAAAGGTGGCTAATGACTGCGAGGAAGAAGTTCGAATTATTTTCGTGACACAGACAGAGGACTCACTTTCGGTCTGGACTAGGGCTGTCACGATCAGATTTTTACTAAACTATTATCATGGTCAACAACACATTCATGATATTCATATTATTGTGATATCTCTAGAATAAATGATGCTCAAACTCATCTTTAACGTGTCAACCAGAGGGTTACTGTAATTAATGTGTAAATTGTTATTTTTGGGTGAACTGTCCTTTTAACAGGGTATCAGTCTTCATTTGTTTAAGTATCAGGGTTATCCTCTATACCAGTATTTAGTGAAACCCCTAGTCTGGACAATGATAAAAGAATAAAGTTTTACATACTGTTTTTTGATTTGATTACCATAGTGCATATAGCCACAGTAAAACCTTTATAGTTAATTGCAAATTTCTCATATTTCATTTGTTTTGGACTCACTGGCTGCACCTTCCTTTAGACTAATGGACAAAAGCTTGGTATGGCATCTTTGAGTACTGACATACAGTAATGACATTATTTTTTACAGGTTCACGTCATTTCACTACTGTATGTCAATACAGTAGTGAAATGACGTGAACCTGTAAAAAATAATGTATATTTACACATATACCTTTCAGTTTGTCCTCTTTTGTAATGATTTTGAAGACGTGCTTCAGTTCCTGTACCAGGATGCCAGTTAGACCAACATACGAGAGGCATTTTGATCTGACAACTACAAGGAAAAGAGATGTGAGAGAGAACATGAGGTTCCACTACATGCTAAAAATATCACCATTAAATTGAATCAGGATATACCGCTGCTAAAGCAAAAATGTGTTCCTTTGTTCACAGACATTTTCTAATGGGCATGACGTTGTACCTGTTAAGACAGCACCATGGAAATCAGCTTTCAAGAGCTTCTGCTGGATCATCTGTGGGTTGCTGCATTCAAAAGAAACAGGGAGCACATTCATGGAGCGTTAGCAAGACTGGAAATGAAATTACACCCAAAAAGTCAGAAATTCTAAAGAACATCTTCTGGAAATTATGACACACATCTTACCTTCCTGGTTTCAATCCATTACACAGATCCACAATGTACTGTTTCCATAGCTCATGCAGAGGCAAGAAGAGTACATATCTACAATCATTACCAAAGATGCATGAGTGATTTTAGTGATAAGCAGTACTTTTACTCACATGATACAACAGGTCAAGAAAATATGATCATATTACCCCAATTTTACAGTCTCTGCACTGGCTACCTATTAAGTTCCGTATCAGTTACAAAATATTATTACTTGCCTATAACGCCCTTAATGGGTTAGCTCCAGTGTACCTAACTAGTCTTCTACCATGCTACAATCCATCACGCTCCCTAAGGTCGCAAAACTCTGGACTTTTGGTAGTACCTACAATACTACAGAGTGAAAGAGAGTATACTTTTGATGTGCAGGTTTGAGCTGGAATATTTTCAGCTGTCTTCTTTCTTTGGCATTCAGTCCCTTGGCCTTTCTTGTCTTTCCCTTCTTCTTCATTGGTCTTTTATATTCCAGTACCACTGCCTTGTGCACCATAATTTCCTCAATGTCTTCATCCTTCATTTGGGGAAGGCAATTCCTTAGGAATGCTTTGGTGAATGCATCCGCTGCCGCTCCTTGTTGAGACTGTGAAAAGTGACATTGAGCAACATATTAACAAGTTTGTCAAGTTTTTGTACATCGAACAGTGTGAGTGCATCTGCATCATTGAACTGTTCCATGATTTCAAATCTTTACAGATCCAAGGAGCCCCCATGCAGAGCCCCAATATAAACACTCAGTAACACTTTACATATGAACAGATTTAACAGAATTACTAGCATTTTTACACGATGGAACAGCATGAATGAGGAAAATAATGCTAATGATAATCAATGTGAGTCACCTCAACTCCCAAAATTTCGCTTTGCTCTGATGGGATTCGGGATCGCACCACACCTGGGAAAGTGAAAGTAGTTAAAATAGTACAAGAAACATTATAGATGAGGTTCATTTTGTTTTCTTTTGGCAAAGAGCGAGTAAATGACCGTAATGTTGAGTTTAAGGATCCAAAATGATCGCAACACAATTTATTTAAACAATAAAACATGAATAGGATTGTAAACAATACAGAATCGTCTTCTTCTTTATATTTCCGGCAGTGTAGACACTTCTGGCGTATTTCAATACAAAAGCATCACCACACTTACTTTCCATAGTTCAAAACACACGAACCAAAAAAACACTGCTGCTCTAAAATCACATGCTGACAGGACAGACGAGCTGATCCCCGATTCAGACCCATAAGATGGAATAAGAGTCAGAGTAATCGAGCACGGCATCATTCACCATATTTACGCTCTACAATAAGAATAAATAATACTGTGAAGATGGTTTATGTCTCGTTATATGGTGAGTATGTTGTACTACTCCGTCTCTATTCACGATGAAGTCACGATGAAAAAGACGTGCAGACAGATCTTTACTGTCACAAGAGATAACATCCAGTTATGACAATTTTGATAAGAAATTATGAGGTAAAAATATTAAACTCCAATTTATTTATCCAATGATAAATCGTTCATAACGAGATCTATAACATACTTTTAGAGTTTTCAATTCATGCGACTTTAAAAGGGTTTACAGTGTGTGCAGTGTCCCTTTAAGAGTGTGTCGGTTTGCTCCACCCCTTGAGTTTATTGGGCTCTTCTGCTCCGCCCAGGCAGCTTTTGAAAATAGTTACAAGTCAAGGGAGGAGACCGACAGTTAGTTGATAACTTAGTTAAATAAACCCTTTTATTGCTATCTATCCCTCGTTTACTTTAGCTAGATTGACGGTTTAAGCTTCAGTGATGTCTGAGGAGCTTGTGTGTTCAAAGCCGGAGGAGGTGAGAAACGCCGAGACAGAAAACAGCGTAGAAATCGTTATCACACTGACCAGTGAAGATCCACCAAATAATCAAGATCATAACGTCAACCAACTGACAGAAAGAGAGGCAGAGACGGTCTGTAATGAGATCAGACCAAACCACAGTCTGGTTTCAATAGGTTTGTGATGTTTACACGGTATATGAATGTAACTGTGATTTCTGTGTGACCTCTTCCATATATAAAGTTACTTTATGTCATTTACTCCCATTAAATAAAAATATGAATCCAGTGTCTGGATTTGAGTCTGCTGTTTGTTTGTTTATTCATTTATTTAATATAAAATGATCCAAAATACTCTTGTTTGGATATTGGATGTAAGTCTGTAGGCCGCTTCATTAAACTTCCATTGCTGATGTATATTGTTTTTAGAGTTATTTCAGACAGAAGAAGATGATGATGATGACAGCGGCACCCATTATCTGAATAGTGATGAGAGACCATGTACTCATCTACAGCGAGCAGAGAGGCCAGGAAATGGAAAACTGCCGGACACCTTCCAGACAGACCATCTTCTGTACTATGAGAGATTCAAAGCATATCAAGATTACATGCTTGGTAACCATCCAAACACTTCTGACAGACACCCACAACAGTAAATGAGTTAATAAGTGTGTTTATAAACCTGAGTTGTTTGACAGGTGACTGTAAAACATCTGAAGTAGAAGCCTTCACGGCTGAGTACCTGGAGAAGATAGCGGAGCCATGTGATTGGCAAGCCATATGGCACACTGATGTGTTTGATGTGCTGGTTGAAGTAAGTTCATTATAGCATGCATTTTGGGTATTTACAGTTAAAACGTGAAAAGATAATGCTTATGATTGAAGCATCTGCACAAGGGAGTGTTTAGAAAGCTGAGGGTTGTTGTTGTAGGTTGTTGATGTCGATTGTAAAGAGCTTAAGGCAAAGGTGGAGATGGTGCTGCCGATGGAATGTGAGACCAGAGGCTGTGATCTTACTGAAGAGTCCATGAAGGCCCTGCTGGAGGCTACACTTCATAAAGTGCCTATTCTTGAGCTCTCGGTTGTCTATGATGAATCTGGGGACTTTGATCAGACTGCTTTGGCCCTAGAACACCTCAGGTTCGTTAACTCTTTAAAGGTATATTTGTTTCCCTATTTTTGAGCAGCCATGCTATTCAGTTTATGTTGGTAGTCCAGCAAACATGAAATAACAATGAACAATAGTAGGGTTTATAGGAATGATTTATAGTAGGAAGTAAATCTGCAAATTATTTGAAATGCATACACTACCATTCAAAAGTTTGGGATCGGTAAGTTTTTTTTTTTTTTTTTTTTTTTTTATATTATTGCAATTTAAAATAACAGTTTTTATTTTAATATAGTTTAAAATATAATTTATTCCTGTCATGCAAAGCTGAATTTTCAGCATCTGATTTATTATCAATGTTGGAAACAGTTGTGCTGCTTCATGTTTTTTGGAACCTGTGATACTTTTTCAGGATTCTTTTATGAAAAAACAAAAAAACAGCATTTATTCAAAATGGAAATCTTGTGTTACAATATACACTACCTTTCAAAAGTTTGGGGTCAGTAATTGTTCTTTCTTTTTTTTTTGAAAGTAATGAATACTTTTATTCAGCAAGGATGTGTTAAATGGATAAAAAGTGATAGTAAAGACTCACATTGTTAGAAAAGATTAATTTTAAATAAATGCTGTTCTTTTTAACTTTTTATTCATAAATTAATCCAGAAAAAAGTATCAGTTTCCAAAAAAAACATGAAGCAGCACAACTGTTTCCAGCACTGATAATAAATCAGCATATTAGAATGATTTCTGAAGGATCATGTGACACTGAAGACTAGAGTAATGATGCTGAAAATTCAGCTTTGATCACATAAATAAATTATATCTTAAAGTATAAGAAATTGAAATAATATCTCCCAATATTACAGTTTTTCTGTATTTTTGATCAAATAAATACAGCCTTGATGAGCACAAGAGACTCCATTAAAAAACATTAAAAATCTTACTGATCCCAAACTTTTGAACGGAAGTGTATATTCACATACACTACAGTCAAAAAGTCAGTTTGACTAAAAATACAGTTAGCCTAAATAGTAGGGATGCACCGATACTGGTATCGGGCCCCATACTGAGCTCTTGTACTCGTACTCGTTAAAATGCCCCGATATCAAACGCCGATACCACACAGCATGTGATAAGTGCCATATTCAGACAATGAAACACCGACAACAGAACAACAGACAGCAGAATGGAGTTATTAGAGATTAAGGATGTCTACGAAGTATATGTATGCAATGAATATAATGTTAAACATTCAGTATTAACACCTGTATAGCTGATGTGCGCGAGCATGTTCTAAACTATAGCGAATAAACTGTGATAATGTGAGAAATGTTGAAGGTGTCTGAATGCATTTTGGTTTGACTCTATCTATTTGATAAATTAAGTTAACCAACTAACATTATAAATACTCTTTTGGTTTCTGTACCCAATATTTAAAAAATTTACAAATGTATCGGTATCGGGACTCGGTATCGGCATGTACCAAAAATAAAAGTATCGGTATCGGGCGAGTACTGGAAAAAGTGGTATCGGTGCATCCTTACTAAATAGTAATATTGTGAAATGTATGCAATTTAAAATAAGTCTGCAATGTCTTTTACAAATCCTTCAAATATGCTTATTTGGTGCTCAGAAAACATTTCTCAAAGTCATTGTCAAAGTTGAAAGCGTTAAATATTTTTGTGGAAGTTGTGATATTTTTTTCCAGTGTTCTTTGAGTAAATGTCATTCTTTTGAACTTGATATTTAAAATATAAATAGTTTATAACGTTCTAAGTGTCTTTACTGTCTTTTGATCTTTTAATTAAAATCCTTACTGAATAATAATATAATATACATATTATGTATGTAAGGAATAATTGACTCTGGGTAGTTGAATTATTAGAAAAATAATGCACACCCGAGGTGGTGATGCGCGTCGTGGCCGTTACACCTCGGGTGTGCATTATTTTTCTAATAATTCAACTGCCCAGAGTCAATTATTCCACTTATAGCCTACTACGGTTACCACACCTCAAGACATCGATCAGATGATATATTTAAAGGGATTCGTCTGGTTTTTGTACTTAAATCGCTATTGTGAGTAGGATTATTTCTTCCGCATCTCATCCAACGCCTCTTTTGCTAGTTCCAAAACGTCATTTTAAAGCTGGTAAAATGAAATTACTTATTTATGTGCTGGTAATACTATATATATATATAGATAGATACAACTTTTTGTTTTAATAATGTATTAGTAAATGTTAGAATCAACATTAACTAAGATTAATAAATGCTTTAGAAGTATCTTTCATGTTAACTAATATAGTTATCTAATGTTACCAAACGGAACCTTACTGTAAAGTGTTGCCAAATATAAAACTTCACCTAAAATTTAAATGAAAATGGAACACATGTGACCCTGGAGCACAAAAGCAGTGTTAAGTCGCTGGGGTATATTTGTAGCAATAGCCAAAAAAACATTGTATGGGTCAAAATTATCCTTTTATGCCAAAAATCATTAGGATATTAAGTAAAGATCATGCTCCATGAATATATTTTGTACATTTTCTACCATAAATATATCAAAACTTAATTTTTGATTAGTAATATGCATTGCTAAGAACTTCATTTGGACAACTTTAAAGGCAATTTTCTCAATATTTAGATTTTTTTTGCATCTCATATTCCAGATATTCAAATAGTTGTATCTCGGCCAAATATTGTCCTATCATAACAAATCAATGGAAAGCTTATTTATTCAGCTTTCAGATGATGTATACATCTCAATTAAAAAAAAATTACCCTTATGACTGGTTTTGTGGTCCAGGGTCACACACACACACACACACACACACATATATATATATACATACATACATACATGCATACATACACCCACACACGTTTCAACTACATAAGCTGCAAGCTAATTAGTAAATTTCTTATTTCTTAATATATTATTGTTCATTTTTATTTCATATTTCATTCCATAATACATGAACTATTGTACATATATACATTTTGAAATGTGGAATGAATATCTTGAATATCTTGGTTTGCGTATCTAATGAAATTAAATTCTGTGTGTCACAATTTGAGTATCAAAATAGCGATGCGAATGTACAATTGTATAACGGTTTGTGATTCTGAAGAGTTTCCTCTATTATACTGACCTGACCGGTTAAGCAGGTTTTCCTGTCAGTCTCACTCTCAACCCCCCCATCCCCCCACACTGGCTTTCTCCCCCTCCCCTCCATCATTCACTCTCGCACGTTTCTGTCTAATCCCCACAGGTTTTTCTATAAGCATATCTGGAGGAAGTGGGATGAGGAAGATGAGGACGATGACTTTGATTACTTTGTTCGGTGTGTGGAGCCTCGTCTTAGGCTGTAAGTGTCCTCTGTGTGTCCCGTCTCTTCCCCTGAAGCATGACCGCATAACACTGAATAAATCTAAGTGTTATCCCAGCAGCTCTGTGGCTACTGTAAAGAAGCTTCGACCACCTGGTGGCAGTGTGTACTCAGTAATGAACAGTTCATTATATGACAACACTATAAATTGCTTAGAGAAATGCAAATAAATTTACTTTGCAAATAATTTACAGAGTCATTATGAAATGTGCTATTTAATCTAAGCGCAGGATATCTAATTTTAAACTCACATTGGCATAAACAAAAGTGGAGATGTCAAATAAATGAGTCTAATGGTACTATTGTGACATTTATTTATTTATTTTTTAAGTTTGATTGCAGTTCTTTTTGGTGCCACCAGTTATGCAGAAATTCCACATTTTCACCTTTTATAAGTACAGAATTTTCTGTCTGCTCATATCCATATTCATCTCCCCCTCCATGTATTTTCCACAGGTACTATGATATCTTGGAGGATCGTGTTCCAGCTGGTCTTGTAGCCGAGTATCACTCGACACTGGCACTCTGCTTTGAGAAGTTTCAGGAGTTTTCCAGCCTGAGAAGTGGCCTGGACAGCGACTCTGAGTCTGAGCAAGACAACATATCCATGGTGGAAGGACTGCGTCTGTATGAGCAGCTGGAAGCACTTAAACGCAAGCTGCGTATTATTGAAAACCCGCTGCTCAGGTGATTATTACTGCTGCGTGTGTTGAGATTGAGAGGTGTTTGTACATATGTACCCACAACATGACTTTGCTCCTCAACCCCAAGTTAATCAGGAGAATAACATAATGAGTATAAATGTGATCAGACATTCACGCTTTTCGAAGTATTGACTTATTTACGTTTTCCAAACCTCAGGATCAATACGCACTGCTCTACAATTAATCATCAGTCTTTCCTAGTTACCAGATTCCAGATGGGATCGAAGACGTGTCAATGCGAACAGCTGTGTTTGAGAGAGTGTGCCTGCTAGTTCTTTGGATTGCTCACCCATTCCACCTGTGTGTCCTTTGCAGGTATGTTCTGGGCTACAAGGTGAACTCCGGTCAGCAGTCATGCAGGGCAAAGGGGCCACGTCCCGCTGGCGACCGAGTGGTTCACTTGGTATCTGCCTCGGCCACAGTTCACCAGCTTCAAAGCTTGATAGCTGACAAACTGATGCCCCACTATTCAGGTGAAGAGTTTGAAGTGCAGGTGTGTGTATAACCCTTTCTCTTTTTTATGTTAAAAAGTTACATGCTGGTCAGAAGACCTTGTACTCACCTTTTCAGGATAATGGTCTTGTTTTCTCCTGTACTGGCTTTGTAAATGGGGATTTTGGAAGGGGTTTATGATATCTAGACTGTGATAAATATTCACACATTAGCCTTAGTGCTTTTTGTTATATATATATATATATATATATATATATATATATATATATATATATATATATATATATATATATATATATATATATATATATATATATATATATATATATATATATATATATATATGTACGTGTGTGAACAAGAAGCACTAAGGTTAAAGTTCTCCCTTTCACAGTCCAGATATTATGTGTATATGTGTGTGTGTATATACAGTCGTGGTCAGAATTATTGGCACCCTTGGTAAATATGATCAAAGAAGGCTGTGAAACGAAATCTGCATTGTTAATCATTTTGATCTTTTATTTAAAAAAAAAATCACAAATATCTAACCTTTCATTGAACTAAAACAATTGAAAATGGGGGAAAATCTCATTATGAAATAAATGTTTTTCCTCAAATACACATTGGACACATTATTGGCACCCCTAGAAATTCTTATGAGTAAAATATCTGTGAAGTATATTCCCATTCATATTTACAATTTTGAGCATACCAGGGTGATTATGAACATGAAATGATCCAGCCATGGCTTCCTGTTTCACAGAAATATAAATAGGAGGGAAAACAAAGCCCAAATTCCCTTAATCATGTTGCTTACCTAAATCATATTTTGTAAATATCTTTTTTTTCTACCACAGAATGTATCTATACATTTCTGTGAGTTAGGCTACTTTGTGTGTGCTGTCTCTCTCACACACTCATTCAGGCTGTGCAAGCCTCATCTGGCATGACATAAATACATTATCAGTCGCCGTTTACACTGAATGCAATTAGAATTAGAATCATTCTCACGCGAAACGACATGTTTGCACGTGACTGTGAGTGTGCGCGTGGCTGTGACGTCATTGCCGGCGCCGCTGGCAATAAAAGGATCGGCTCGGAAAGTGACACAAGCAGCAGTTGTGAGTGGGGTGGCCAACCCTAGCCCCGCCCCTGCGTTAATTGCGTTAAATATTTTTAACGCATTAAACTGAAAAAAATAAATAATCGCCTGCGTTTACGCGCTAATTTTGACACCACTAATATATATATCTATATATATATTTATATAAACACCACGCCACCTGCGGTAGTTGGTCCATTACCACCGCGGTGGTAAAAATCTGCCACCGTCACAGCCCTAATTGCTACACCCGCTGACTGCAATGATAGAGCTTGGACAATATCCAGGACAATTTTTAATATAACTCCGACTGGATTCATCTGAAAGAAGAAAGTCATATACACCTAGGATGCCTCGGGGGGGGTGAGTAAAACACAGCCTCATTTTCATTTTTGGGTGAACTAACCCTTTAAATCATTTTACTATAAGGTTTTATTTATTAACATTATTTAAAGTGGTCATATGATGCTGCTAAAAAGAACATTATTTTGTGTATTTGGTGTAATGAAATGTGTTTATGCGGTTTAAGGTTAAAAAAACACATTATTTCCATAATTATGGATCATAATGACTTGTACTGTCTTTTTACGCGTTGCGTTGCATCGCGCC